AAAAAAAAAAAAAAAAAAAAAAGGATTCGTAGTTTTTCTCAGCACCGGTCTCAAAACTCAGTAGCTTGTTCTCAGGGAGTTGATGGCAACACCTGCTCTCTCCTAATTTTTTTTCTTTTTCTTTTTTTTCTTTTCCTGAGACGATGCTCCAATCTATTTGGGGAGAGCGACACGGCTGAGAACCGGGCCAGCGTCCCTTATTAGAATACAAAAATGAGCTACCGGGGCCATTCCCCGGCTTCGGCTATAAGAACAATTGAAGAAAAGGGAAAACTCAGAAACATTCATGGTCCCGTCTTGCGGGACATCCGTTAAAATTGGAACGATACAGAGAGAGAGAAGATTAGCATGGCCCCTGCACTTTCGAGGATGACACGCATAAATCGAGAAATGGTCCAAATTAAAAAAAAAAAAAAAAGAAACATTCATGGTCCACTACTACCAAGTCACTAGAGAGAAATGGTCCAAATTAAAAAAAGAAAAAGAAAAAAAGAAACATTCATGTGTCAAAAAAAAAAGCCTCCCAACCACGTATCTTCTGATTGTAGAGTTTTAGGATCCTTTGTGTTTGTTGCACACTCCCGAAAGGATCCGGAGGATATATTGAGAAGCCTCAGGGTCTGTGTGGTCATTGACAGCCAGTCTTCTTACAGCAATTTGGCACGCTGTCAAAAATCTCATGGCCTCTAATCTGCTGGGGACGTGCCTACGTCTCTCAAGGATCTATGTGTGGATATGGGTGTTGGCGCGTATACATTTCTCAAAGATGTATCTGTGCGTGGGCTGCTTCACTCATTGAGCGTCTCACAAATTTTGTCAAGTTGCAGGAGTCACATGGAGATTACTTTCACAGTAGCAAGCTTGTTGGGGAAAGAACAGAGTGAAACTTTCGAATGCCGTAACCGACCGGGTGATTACTCTTGTCCTTTTTGAACCGTATGGAGCAGCAATGCGGACATCTCTGCCACAAAGTGTTGCGGTGATGCGTACATCTACACCGCCCGTAGTTTTGACTCTTGCCTTGCCGAGCCTGGAAACGCTCTGTGTGCCAAAAAAAGGGAATTGGCGCGGGCCTTCTTTCGGCTGGTGGCACCAGCCATTTCACTCTGGTAGGCGAACCCCCGAAGCTCGTGGCTGCATGCACTCCTGTGCTGTAGAAAAATGGCTGGGAAACGTGCCGGTGGCTTAAGCTGGAGGCCTGAATCTCAGTTTGCTGCACAATCTGGTCCAGCAAGCAGCAGGCCCATCACATTTACTTCCTCTGTTTATCCTAGAGGGAAGGGGGGGATGTTGCTACTTGTGGGATCTCTCTCATCCTCTGCAGCAACTCCGGCTTCTCCAGTTTGTTGTGGCCCATGTCCTTCTTGACATCTCTTTGTGTACTTTCTTGTCCTGTAAAACTTAGCCCTCGCGTTCTCTTGCTCATGCTTGTATATGGTCTGTCTCTTATACACATCTAGATGTGTATAAGAGACAGGTGGATAGGTGACTTGGATGCACGCATGCACGTTAGTGACAGTAACAACACGTAGTCTGGTGCACGCAGCACGCTATCTACTAGAGAGGATTTACAAACAGTTAGTGAAGAGAGAGAGTTCTTGACACAAAGAGGGACAAAGATCGATCATGATCGAGTATTATATAATGTACTCTCTCTTTCTCGATCCCTGTCTCTGTCTGTGTTCCTCTCTCCCTCTCTCTCTGTCTCGCGTGCGCACGTTATCCTATCGATGTTGACTAATCCTTGTCTTAGTCAACTGTCTGCATCTCTGTGTGTGTGTGTGTGTGGGGGGGGGGGAAAACCATCATCTCTTGGGGCTGCGTTCCCCGGGGGACCAGCAGACAATTGAAACGCAGACCTGAGTTCATATCCGGGTGCCAGACGAACATTTATAGAGAAAGGAAACAGAAAAGGCCTATATGCGATTTTGCCAAGAGATCGACCCCCACAAACCTCACTCAAGCTGTCGTCCAGGAAAAATTAAGGGCAACGTAGCCGACAGACGCTGGACCTACTAGAACCGCAGCCATAGGGCTGCAAACACTCCCCTGCCGTACATGCGTACCGTTCCGTGGAAAAGAGCACAATGTCGCAGCTTCCTCGTGCAGACTCTGGAGCATTCCTCGCTCTGGTGTACACTCGCCGTGCATACGGTTGGGATTGATCTCAAGGGGGTAGCTAAGGGGAGTGGGGACATGGGGGGAGGGCGAAAGGAGGTGGGGCCACGCTTGGAGAGTGTGCGCTTGGATAGACAGAGAGAGGGGGCACGTCTGCAAGTCTTGCGTTGGTGAATGCTTGCCCTAAATCGACTCCAATAACTCGGTTCTGGTGTTGTCGAGGGCGAAGTCGCGATCACCCAAATCGGAGGCAAGGCACAAGGCATCATCGTGAACATCACACATCATTTCATCGTGTTCATCACATCATTGTGTACATCACGCTCGCACACGCTCACCTCATCCGTGAGATTAGCGCGAAATGCGGAATCAGCGAAGACGACAAAGGCACGTGTGCCCAACGGTGCTCGGCAAGGCCGCGGTGGAAAGGGAAATAAGGTTACGCTGAGTGAAGAGGGCAGCAGCGCAGGCTGAGTTACAGCTGCCAAATGATGTCGTGCGAGCGCGCGGAAGCGCGCGCACGCGAGCGAGCAGCAGAGGCTGGTGGGGCGTGTGGAAGAGGAGGAGCTGGAGACTCCGGTGGCGAGAGAGAGGTGGCGGGAAGAAGCAGAAGTGGACGGAAAAGTGAAGATCTACTTCACGTAGGGGCATCTGTTCCATGCTTTCGGCTGTAATATGCCTTGCGCCGAAGGTTGATGTCGGAGAGTGCTCGATTGGAAGCAAAGGAGAACGTGCTGATTCGAAAAGAGCCACCTTCACGTGAGCGCGATGGTGTGGGTGGGAGTTAACACAAATGAACATCGCGCATGATTGATCGACTGACAAACCGTCAGTGGACGCTGTCGAGGAGCGGCGCGGGGAGGACAAGAGTTGCAATCAGGGTTCAAGAAAGAGAACGATAGCGACAACATAGCGATAACGAAACGATCTCATAGCCGCGCCATATCTTGGGGTTCAGTCGGTTTTTCGCTGCTGTTACGTTGACGCGAGAGGAGGTAAGATTTAGCTGGGTGGGGGTATTTGATTGCTTGATTGATGGTTTTTTTGATTGATTGTTCAGGGAAAGGGCTGCCGCATTCTATCCGTATTCGTCCGCTTCCCCATCAGTCAACCACAAATCTATTGATCTACTACTCCATCACACCGTACTCCATCCATCTCTTGATCCTTCGCTCCCTCGTGCACCACTTTCCTCCTTGCCTCTCTCTCCACACCTCCATCTCTCCACCCAGATATTCATCTCTAGTCCATCGATCGCTCCTGGATTCGTTCGCTCATCCATTGTACAATTTTGTTCTTCCTCTCTCTCCCTCAAATACGCAGCGGCTTTATTGTTGATATCTGCGTGGCATAGGGTGGCGTGACGAGGCGGACGTGGGCTAGACTTCGTCTATTTGGCATGGTGTAGGTGTGGCCGTGGGCGGCACGGGGTCGCCCCTGGCCGGCAGGTGGCTTTATGGGAGGAGACGCTGATGAGGGTGCCCCCCCATCGAAACGTGCTCGTTTGAATCATTACTTAGAGTACAGTGTGCTGCTGGGTCGAGGGGGAGACGGCGGGGGTGGAGCCGGCGGCGGCAGCTGCGGCGGCGGCGAAGGCGGAAGTGAGGGGGGANCCCAAACAGGAAACTGCCAAAAAAATCAAGTGCAGAGTCCCTTGTAATGCGAGTACAAGGCCCCAAAACTCACTCCCGTATCGCTCTTGTTCTTCGAGGAACCTTTCACAATCTGTTCTGTCTTCTGGCAAAAGAGAGGGGCCGTTGCTAGCTGCTCTGGGTTTGGATTTGTTGCCAATAGGCAGGCTCTCTGCATTGTCAGTGGCTGCGAGGGGTACAGAAGCAGCCAGCTGTCTGTCGTAGCGAAGCAGAGATAGTGGAACAGGGAATGAACATCGGCAGGCCATTGGTTGTACCGAGCTGTCATTTTCTTTGTGTCTGACGAAATCTGGAAGGTATTATTATCGTCACACACTGTTGCACTAAGTGTATCACTGTCACTGTCATACTTATCAAGATTTTTCTTTACAGGGGAGGGGGATCACCTGCATGTGACCTGAGTTCGGCAGGTAATAATAGGTGTCATGACACTTTATTAAAGGAGCCAAGGCGGAGGAGAGAAAAGGAAAGGTCAGGTTCACAATCTCACATGTAGCACAGTGCTATGTTATCAGAATCTCTACAGGAGGAGAGAAGCATATTTGTACACAGGAAGACTCCACGGTGTGCACTGTACTTCACCCTTCTGGATGGGCATATTTTCCTACAGCCCACCTGCACCTAGTTATTATTTGCCTCGGGCAATAACAGCCAGCAACTCTCTTTGAGCTTGGTAGACAACCTCTCTTGCAGCCTTGCCAGTTTTGATGGTGATGGTAAATGACCACTCTGTCTTTCTCTTCTCCCTGAGCATAGAACTGCTGGACCTTAGATCCCTGTTATTGTCTAAGAGCATGCCGTACACCTCGCTAATCTCTCAACTGGTCTCAGCTTTGCATTTGTGACACTCAGAGAAATGAAGCCTGCTGAAACCGCTAGTACACGGCCCCAGCCTTTCAGTCCGAAACTTGTCGCCACAAGAAAACGATGCCGAAACGTCAAACGCTGGGCCTGCCGTTGATCAATTCGATCGGCGGTGGCGTTTTTGTTTCGCGCCTCCATAACTTGAGGTGTCAGGCCCGCGGCCCAGGTGCCCATGTACTGTTGCTTTGATGATCCAAGTCATGGAAGAAATGTACTGCATGCACAGTGAAATTCCCGTCCTGCCGCTCCACTCCAGCCTGGCGGAAAGGACACTTTCCATATGCACAATCTTTTCGACAACCGCTTTCCAAGATGTGAATTTTCATTGTGACGACTGCCTTTCGAGAACGGAATGCCTCCAGCATGGCGGCATGTAATTACAGAGTCCTGAAGATGTGGCTAACAACCTTTTTAGTGAGAGAGAGAGAGAGAGAGAGAGAGAGAGAGAGAGAGAGAGAGAGAGAGAGAGAGAGAGAGAGAGCAGGACTACCAAGTACATCAGGGTGGGGTAGAATGTGGAGAACTTGAAGGGCATGTGAGTTTGCAAGAGGACGTTATGAGGGCAAGAATGGGAGCAGCTGAACAAGTGCAGCAGGTGAACGGATGTGGCTCTGTGCGACGTCGTGATAGTGCATGTTCAATGAGCATTACACAACAATCTGATCAATGTCCAAGTATCCATCCATGCTTGTGGGCAACCTGTGTGGTCCTCTAGAGTTCTACTAAAGAGAAGGATATTGGGGGAACATTGATTTCTGCCGTGGTCCTCCAGAGTTCTACTAGAGATAAGGATGTTGTCGACATAGACAACTATAAACTTACCTAGATTGGAATACCGTACTCATAGTGCATGTTGGAATGCAGCAGGCACATTGCATAGCGTGAATGGCATCACCAAGCACTCGTACATCCCATAACTTGTTTGAAACGGAGTTGGTGCTGATCAGCGGGTCCGATCTGAACCTGGTGGTACTCGGACTTCAAATCCCTCTCAGTGAAGTACATACGACCTTGCACTCTATCAAGGAGGTCGTCAATGCGAGGTAGGGGGCTCTGTGCTCCGTGATCTTCACAGTGATGGCATTCAGGCACCTATAATCAGTGCAGATCCACAAGGTCTCTCCCTTCTTTGGTATGAACAAGACTGGTGGATCAATCAGTTCCTTGAGCTGCTCATTGGAGATATCCTATAGATCCTACCCCGGGCACTTTACTTCCTGAGATAACCTCTATCGCATGGATTATCTCCCTATCAATGACTCCTATTGACGGTCTGCCGCATTTGAAACACAAACACAAAGTACATACCGTCCTCTGGATGCTGCTTATGATAATTATAGAATGCACTAGTGCACAAACATCTCCCTATCAACGACTCCTATTGACGGCCTGCCCCATTTGAAACACAAACACAAAGTACATACCCTCCTTCTGGATGCTGCTTATGATAGTTATAGAATGCACTAGAGCATAAACCATCATAGGAGTCTGCCAACTTGAGAGACTACGCTTCTTCAGAAGGATCTGTCCTCATGCCAGGCAGTTCGTACTTCAATAGTCTTCTTCACCTAATCGAACTAGGCCTGTTAAACCTCCAAATAGTACATCCCTTTTTTTTTTTTTTTTTTTTTTTGACAAATGCTCCAGTCTATTCGTGGGGAGCAGCACGTGCTGGGAACTGGGCCCAGCGTCCCATATACACAAGTCATTTGAGATACCGGGGCCATTACCCGGCTTCGGCTGAGAATCAATCTGAGAACCTTTTAAGAAATTCAAGAGAATTAAAGGAGAGGTTAGAAAACTATGAACGACTACCGACCTCTTTTCGAATACTCAGAACTCCTAGACGGATCTGTCGTCCTGCCAGGCAGTTTGTACTTTAATAGTCTTCTTCACCTATAATCGAACTAGGCCTGTTAAACCTCCAAATAGTACATCCCTTTTTTTTTTTTTTTTTTTTTTTTGACAAATTCTGCAGTCTATTCGTGGGGAGCAGCACGTGTTGGGAACCGGGCCCAGCGTCCCATATAGAGTTACACAAGTCATTTGAGATACCGGGGCCATTACCCGGTTTCGGCTGAGAATCAATCTGAGAACCTTTTAAAGGAATTCAAGAGAAGCCTTTTTAAAGGAGAGGTTAAAAAACTACGAACGACTACTGACCTCTTTTCGAATGCTCAGAATCCTAGACTCCCAAACAAAACTCTCTAAAACTGTCCAACACTGTCTTATTCCCTGTCGAGCTCTCCCAGGCCTCACACCCCCACCCGGCTAGGTTACAGAGCAACACGACTCGCCCCAGCTCCGGCCAGCGTCGTCCCAACAGCTACCCTTGGTTGTCCCTTGGAATGCCCACCCCAAAGCATCCCCAGACCTCTCTACCAGGCCTCACGCTCCTGGAACAGGGCAACACCCCAACACCGGCCAGCGTCGTTCTGGCATCGAACAACCGCAGATCCATGAACGTATCAGTATCAAACAGCCTAAAGCGAGTTGCTAGAAGTCCCCAGAATCCTAAACCATTCTCTTTTTTTTTACGAAAATCAATGCTATTTGAGGTAAATTTGGGAGACTAACCACCAGCGAAAATCCCAGCAATTGTCTTCAAACACTCTAGAGGGTCCTAACGCCCTCGAAGTCCTCAGACACTGTCTTATTCCCTACCAAGCTCTACCAAGCCTCTCACCCCTGCAATAGGTTACAGGGCAAAGTAACTCACCCCGGCTCCGGCCAGCATCGTCTTCAATAGGAACCCTTGATTGTCCCGTGAAATGCCCCCCCTTGGCATTCCCAGATCTCTCTACCAGGCCTCAAGCTCCTGCTGTCAACAAGTTACAGGGTCAACACCCCAGCACCGGCCAGCGTCGTCCTGGCATCGAACAACCGCAGGTCCATGAATAAAACAACATCACAAATCGCCTCAAGGAAATTGCAAGGAGTCCCAAGAGCCTAAAAGCAACCACCTAGAACAATCACAACCTCTAGAGGATAGCCATATCCAAACACATCGCCCGTTGTGTTTTTTTTTTTACGAGATAGGACATGAGTGACACACAACAAAATTGAAAGCAAAAAATCCGAACCGAGACCACTGACTAGCAAACTTCCCACGCAACAATTGGGAAAAACAAAGTCCTGTGATCAGTCCTCGAACCTAAACGCGGCTGGTCTCATAACCCCCTATGCTAGGGTTACAGGGCACCACCATGCCCCGCTACCGAACAGCCTGGTATAGACGGCAAGGAGCGCCTTCCTCCCTCGACAACTCCCATTAGCCGCACGCCCCTAGGTGACAGGGATAAAACCCAGCAACGGCTGCGTCAAACGTGGTGGTTCTGCCTTCCTCCCTTGACAGAGCTCCCCAAGCCTCACGCTCCCCCAGGTTACAGAGCAACGCTCCAGCACTGACCTGCATCGTCCCAACCACGTCCTTCTGACCTATTGACGAAAGACAAATAGTACATCCCTAGGATCATATCAAATGAAAGTTCGTTGCTGACCACGACGGACAATCGGTGTCTTAAAGCACCAGTACATGGGCACCTGGGCCGCAGGCCTGACACCTCAAATTCTGGAGGCGCGAAGCGAAAACGCGACCGGTGTCTGCCGATCAAATTTATCAACGGCGGGCCCAGCGTTTGATGTTTCGGCCTCATTTTCTTGTGGCAGCAAGTTTCTGACTGCAAGGCTGGGGCGTGTACTTGTGGTTTAACGTCCCTCCTCCAGAGGAGAAGGTGCATACTATATCCTGGTTATGATCCTTCACCACAATAGTGTGCTTGTTGACTAAGGTAGATACCACAGGTCTACTCAGCCGCTGCACCCGGTCCCTAAGCGCAACATATCGATACGAGCACGACGATGTAGTTGTGAATGCTGCCAATGTCTGCCAGTGCCCCTGTTTTACTGGTATCTAGAT